TGCTTCACACCCATATAAGAGTGTTGTATAACTATACAGTCGAACTTCGGTATGCAACCTTAATTCATTCCAGAAGGCTGTTCAAGTGCTGCTCCGTTTGAGTATCAAATGAGTTCTTCCCAACCAGTTTTATGTTTGGTTGGCTGTTATCACTAATCATCGTAGGCCCCATGGTGACTTATTTATACAAATACTGTAATACAAAAAACACCAAAAAATGTGAGGAAACACGAAATAGTATACAGTGAAGTTCTGGCAGGTTGTATTTGTTTGGTTGAGTGCTGAACTTTGTTTGAGTAGGGAGCTGGTTGTATACTGAGGTTCCACTGTATTAATTGCTTTGCTGCCACCTAATGGAGTGGGGCTGTTTGTGGTGTTTAATGGCGGTGGGATGATTCCTGTGGTTTTGAATATTGTGTGCCAGAGTATTATTACCAGCCTAAAACTGAGCATCGGTTGGTATTGGCTAATTGTGATGATATTGGCGGATATCGGTTAATTTTGATGGTATCGGTCTAAGACTGGCTATTGGTCTAAGACTGGGTATCGGTCTAAGACTGGGTATCGGTATTGGCAAAAATTTTGGTATCATTTCATTCCTAGTTTTGAGTGGTTCTTGAATAATGTGGAGTTGCCACGAGCCAGGGACTGGTGGGGCATAGTGTAGGGGTATGCAGTGATGGATTCTTTTTGAAGTTGAGGGGTGATATGGTTGTAACAGACGTTATGGTGATGTCAGCAGGGTTTTGAAAAGCTCTTGTGTATTGGCTCAGTGAACACACTAATATTGTTATTTAAATATTTCACTCATTTCTTTGTTATCAACAGTGTAGGTTCTATCTCCTTTAACCCTTTCAGTGTCCAGATCCCCGATCTCAAACTTGTTCTCGATGTCCAAAGATCCACTCCTTCCCCCAAACACAATTTTTTTATTATGAGATGGAGAATTTTTTCTGAAGCTAATGACACCAGAGTACAAAATTTGGTGGAAAACTCATGGAATTATGCTGATGCAAAGTTACTGGTCTTGGCAAAATTTTTGCACCAGCTATTCGCCTACTTTTTTGTTCTATTTTAGGCCAATTCCATTGTTCCAGTCAACCAGATTCTTAGTTATATCACTATGCCTTCCATTCTATTGACTGAGCACAGGAAACTGCCCATTCAACTACTTCAACTACCCAATAAAATGATCAGAATTTAGCAATTTAATCAATTTCAAACAAAATTAAAAAAATACCAATTCAAAAATAGCCCAAAATAACCAATTAGACATTCAGGGCTAAAAACCTTGTCTTTTATCATACATCCCCAACCTCTCCTAATACATAACTTTCCATTTTGAATTTCTTATTCGCACAAAATAGATTTACTTTTCTTGGCAATATTTTAAAAGGGGGAGGTCAGGTTTACAGATCCAATAATTGAATGAGCCTTTTAAAAATCCTTTAACTGGATCAGGGTTTAGGTGGCCTTACTAATCCTTTGGAATATCACAAAAATAAATATTTCTGCTACATTGAGCTCTATTTAAAGTTGTTCAATCTTAAAACCCATTAAATCACTCTTTCCCAGTATATTTTTTCCATTCTGTAAAAACAAGAACAGTCAGTAAAACCCAAAATCACCCAAGAAAACCCACAAACATTTGCTTTTTTAAACCATGCACATGGTCAGAGTATTTTTTTTTCCTCATACACTGGGGGAGCATGGCTTTTATATTTTGCACTCTTGCCACAATCCATTCTCTCACATCTTGGCCAAAATTTCAACTCACAGTAATCTGGGCGAGTGAGTCATGAATGTTTTAAATAATGGCCTCTCCTACTTAACACAGAGTCCGTTCCCAAGACCACGTTAAACAAATTGTGCTAAGTGAGGAGCATACTTTAATGGTGGTGATTTGTGTTAACCATCTTTGAATTGTTTTATGTCACCTTTGCACCATTTATAAAATTTCTGAAATATTTTAAAGTTTTACAGCAGGGTACTGTTTTTTTTTTTTTATTATCACCAGGCCGATCCCCCCCGGGCGGGGTGCCGAAAAAGAAAAACTTTCACCATCATTCACTCCATCACTGTTTCCCAGAAGTGTTTTTACATACAGTTTTAACTGCAACTTTAACACCCTCCTTCAGAGGCAGGCACTGTACTTCCCATCTCAAGGACTCAAGCCGCCTGCCGCTTTCCCGAAATCCTTCATAAATGTTATTTGCTCAACTCAAAGCACGTAAGTTAAAAACCATTTGTCTCCATCACTTATCAAAACCTCAAGCATGCTGCTGGAAGCCCAAAAGCCCTCGACACAAACCCCCTTTTACCCTCCTCCAACCCTTCCTAGGCCGACCCCTACCCCGCCTTCCTTCCACTACAGACTGTTTACACTCTGAAGTCATTCGTTTCGCTCCATTCTCTCTACATGTCCGAACCACCTCAACAACCCTTCCTCAGCCCTCTGGACAACAGTTTGGTAATCCCGCACCTCCCCCTAACTTCCAAAACTACGAATTCTCTGCATTATATTCACACCACACATTGCCCTCAGACATGACATCTCCACTGCCTCCAGCCTTCTCCTCGCTGCAACATTCATCACCCACGCTTCAAAACCCATATAAGAGCGTTGGTAAAACTATACTCTCATACTTTCCCCTCTTTGCCCCCAAAGGGACAAATTTTCTTTGTCTCCCAGACTCCTAAGTGCACCACTCACTCTTTTCCTCATCAATTCTATGTTTCACCTCATCTTTCATAGACCCATCCGCTGACACGTCCACTCCCAAATATCTGAATACGTTCACCTCCTCCATACTCTCCCCCTCCAATCTGATATTCAATCTTTCATCCCCTAATCTTTTTGTTATCTCATAACCTTACTTTTTCCTGTATTCACCTTTAATTTTCTTCTTTTGCACACCCTACCAAATTCATCCACCAATCCCCTGCAACTTCTCTTCAGAATCTCCCAAGAGCACAGTGTCATCAGCAAAGAGCAGCTGTGACAACTCCCACTTTGTGTGTGATTCTTTATCTTTTAACTCCACGCCTCTTGCCAACCCTCGCATTTATTTTCTCTTACAACCCCATCTAAAAATATATTAAACAACCACGGGGGACATCACACATCCTTGTCTAAGGCCTATTTTTAAACGGGGAAAAAATTTCCCTCTTTCCTACATACTCTAACTTGAGCCTCACTATCCTCTTTAAAAACTCTTCATGCTTTCAGTAACCTACCTCCTAAAAACCATACACTTGCAACATCTGCCACATTGCCCCCCTATCACCCTGTCATACGCCTTTTCCAAATCCATACATGCACAAAAAACTCTTTACCCTTATCTAAATCTGTTTAAAATATGTTTCACTGTAAACACCTGGTCCACACACCCCCTACCTTTCCTAAACCCTCCTTGTTCTTTGCTAACCTATTCTCCTTTCTTACTCTTAATTCTTTCATTTAAACTCTACCATACACTTTACCAGGTACACTCAACGACTTACCCCCCTATAATTTTTGCACTCTCTTTTATCCCTTTGCCTTTATACAAGGAACTATGCATGCTCTCTGCCAATCCCTAGGTACCTTACCCTCTTCCATACAATTTATTAAACAATTGCACCAACCACCCCAAAACAAATTCCCCCCCTGCTTTTAACTTTTCTATCTTTACCCCCATCAATCCCGGCTGCCTTACCCCCTTTCATTTTACCTACTGCCTCACGAACTTCCCCCACACTCACAACTGGCTCTTCCTCACTCCTACAAGATGTTATTCCTCCTTGCCCTATACACGAAATCACAGCTTCCCTATCTTCATCAACATTTAACAATTCCTCAAAATATTCCTTCCATCTTCCCAATACCTCTAACTCTCCATTTAATAACTCTCCTCTCCTATTTTTAACTGACAAATCCATTTGTTCTCTAGGCTTTCTTAACTTGTATATTGAAATAAACAGAATAGAGGAAGTCAGCTTTAAAATAAATAATTTAGTTATGAATACTGATCTGAGAGCCCGTCGTAAGTCCGAGGTGTCTGTGAACGTGCACGTCGCTAAGTGAGGAGAGGCTGTAATTTAAAATGACTACATTAGCGAAGTGTCATAAAGCAGGACCCTCCTGTACCTGTCCCGCTTTCCATCTCTCTCTGGGGCAAATCCAGAAACCTTTCCCATTTAAGGTCATTGCTCATGCTGCATTAAGCTTTGTAGACGAAGCATAAAATACTGTACCTCATATTTTCCACAGTCAATGCCCCTTATGTTTCTTCCCAGGTGTCTCCCACTTGCACCACAGATCTTATTTCTGCCCATTCCCACTGTGATTCCTCTGTTTTGTATGCCAGTCCTTGTAGGTTTAGGGTTGGGGCAGGGGTGGGGGTAGGGGGGGTTGAGTGGCTCCTGAAATCCAAAATATCATTAACCTCTTTAATGTCTTGTGCAGATCTATGTCTTAACCATAGTGCTCTGTGTGTTCGGTCAGTTTTGGCCTAGACTTGAGACTGGGTCTATCTTATGGGTATGCATGGGTATAAAAAAAAAATTCCCACCATGCATTGCAGCACTGGAACTGTCATTGTTGAATAACAAGAGGGTAATACACCTGGAGTAAGAGTATCAGACCAGTACACCATGCTGGACAGTGCTGTATTAACATGATTCCCATCATGTACTGTGTGACCCAAACTTTTTTGTGTGTACTGCATGCATTGACCACGCTGACCCATTATCTCATGCCAAGTGAGACTGGCCTCAGTCATGTAGATCTGTGAGAGATGGTTAAAGGGTTGAGAGAGATTTTACAAGGTTTTCATTGTAAACTGTTAATTAGCTTCATGTTAGTTCTTTCTACTTCTAAGATAAATTAAATTTTGTTTTATAATTTTGAGGACATTGACACTGATGTGCTCTGGGTTGTGTACGTGTCGGAAGACCTACATGTATTTACTCCGTGTTCTGTATTTTTCATGAAACTTACACTGTTTTGTGTTTTTCAGGAGACTTACACTGATGTAACGCTGGCGTGTGAGGGCAAGTTTTACCCCGTCCATAAGCTGGTTCTGTCCACCTGTAGTGAATACTTTAGTGATATATTTGATCGCACACCATGTAAGAACCCAGTAGTTGTTCTTAAAGATATTCAGTGTCAAGACCTTGAGTTCTTGTTGGACTATATGTACATTGGTGAAGTTAATGTTAGGCAAAATGAACTTTCTTCTCTCATCAAGGCTGCAGAATGTCTCAGAATTAAAGGCTTAGCTGTGCCAGATGAAGAACCTAAAAAGAGTAGTGGTAGTAGTAGTAGTGGGTGTACAACTAGTGTGCCTCAGGGCAGACAACGTCCAGAACAAACTAGTCCTCCCGCTAAGAGGCGCAGAGCGGAGGAGAGACGAGTCACGCCCATCGGGACAGAACACAGTCCTGGCAGACCTCCTGGAGATGGCCCTAACACCCCAGAAACAAACACTGCACGTCAGCATAATCCTAGTGAAGTTGTCAATCCTCGAGAACAAGCAGAGGATCAACAAACTGATATAAATACAGAGGAGTCACCTGTACTCATCAAAGTGGAACAACAGGAGAACTTTGAACAATCTGCTAATGATGAGTTCTTATCAGTACAAAGTAATAGTTATGATGGTGGTGGGGGTGAGGAGGGCGATGGTCCCCATAGCTCTGAGGGCAACACAAATGATTTCCCTGAGTTTCTTCAGTCAACCATAGAAAAGGAAGAACCAGTTGCCATGAGCGATTTTAATCCTAGCGACTTCCCCGGACCATCTGGTCTACAGAATGTGAGTATTGCCTAGTTTGTGATGACTTTACTAACACTGGCTCCTGTACTCTTGTTTATCTATAAATACTGTACATAGTACAGTAATGTTATTGGTTATATACACTGATTAAACTACAGTACATAGTACAGTAATACAAATATACTAATAAATTTTATTTCTTTGTAGTGTAAATAATGCAGTTTCCTTATAATAAAACAGACACAAAGAGGCACTGTATGCTATGTATACTAATAATACTTTTAATGGTTATACACACTTGTATGCTATGTATACTAATAATACTTTTAACCCCTTGACTGTCGCAACCCCCAATCCTGAGGTGTCTCCTGGTGTTGCAAAATTAAAAAAAAAAAAAAAAAATTCTTATGAAATAATAGAGAATCTTTTCCCAATTGTAATGACACCAAAAAAAAAAAACGAAATTTATGGAAGATTGACGGAATTACGCTCTCGCGAAGTTAGCGACCTCAGTGATATTTACAAATCGGCGATTTCCGCCCCCCCACACTTTGAGCCCTATTTTCGGCTAATTCCATTGTTCCAGTCGACCGAACTCATAGCTATTTCTTTAGAACTCCGTTTTTTCTATCGATTGAGTACAAGAAACTGCCCATTTACCGATTTCAACTACCCAATAACATGGTCAGAAATTTGCAATTTGGCCAATTTCACTAAGATTAAAAAATATGACAATTTCAAAGATAAGGTCCAGAATGAACAATGCAAGAATTCCTGGCTCTAAAATAACATTTTCTTTGTTCATCTGTCATGTCTCCAGCCTCCTCTGATATTACTCTTGCTTTCTATTTTGAATTTTTTTTTTTATTTTTTTTTTCAAACAAAAAATAGATATTTATTATTATGCAGACTACTGCAGATACTGTAATAATTGTATAAATAACCACTCAACCATTCATGATGCATATTAGAATGGCTGTTGGACATTTATTGAGTCAATGACATCTTTGTTTACTTTTGAACATCGCAAAAATCAACATTATCCCTACTTTGAGCTCCAATTTCCAGAATTTTTTTTATAGTTAAATTTTTTTATTTTATTATCACATGGGGCACGTCCACCAAGGCAAGGGTGGGCCCGTAAAAAGAAACTTTCCACCATCATTCCTCCATCACTGTCTTGCTCAGAAGGGTGCTTTACACTTACAGTTTTTAAACTGCAACATTATAGCCTCCTTCAGTAGTAGGTTGGTAGACAGCAACACCCAGGGAAGTACCTATCCGTCCTGCCAGATGACTGTGAAACAGAAACCTGTAACTTTTGCTTGATGGGTAGGATTGCTGGTGTCTTTTTCTGTCTCATAAACATGTAGGATACAGGGATATCTTGCTACTCTACTTACACTTTGGTCACACTTCACAAGACATGCACGTTGTATATATATATAATAATAAATAAAATATATTATATATATATAATTATAATAATATATATATATATATATATATATAATATTTATATATATATATATATAAATATATATATATATATATATATATATATATATATATATATATATATATATAGATATATATAGATATATATATATATTTATATATATATATATATATATATATATATATATATTTATATTATATATATATATATAATATATTATATATATATAATTATTTATATATATATTATATATTATATATATATTTATATATATATATATATTATATCAAATATATATATATATATTATATATATATATATATATTTATATAATATTATATATAATAATATTTTTATATATATATTCTAGGTTTTTCTCCTTTTTTACATAGCTCTTGTTTCTTTTTCTTCTATTGTCCATGGGGAAGTGGAAAAGAATTTTCCTCCGTATGCCATGCGTGTCGTATGGGCGACTAAAATGACGTGGGAGCAAAGGGCTAGATCCCACCTTCTCTGTAGACATTTACTAAAAAAGAGAAGAAGAAAACTTTATAGAAAATCAATCAAAATCACCTCTATTTCTATAATATGTTTTCCATTCTATCAAATGAGACCAAGAAAACGAGAATACAACCATAAGTACTATACGAAAATAGACCACAAAGTCGGCATTTTAATTAAAAAAAAAAATGTCGGAGTTTTTTTTTCTCATTATGCACTGCGTGCTCCAGGATTTTTTTTATATGGTGCACACAGACCCATTCTCTCACATGTGGGCCTACCAGCTTTCTCCTGCTTGATTTCAAATTCAAATTCTAAGTTTATTCTCTATAAGGATTACAATGCTGAGTTTACAGAATTTGGTTATTGTGTGGTTTACATGTAGTAAAGTACTAATTACAGAGGGTGCCACTAGAACTCTAGAAGCCGCTAGAATTTATGAGTATATATACGTCAAACACGGTACCTCGTAAGACGTATATATACGGCCGTGACAGTCAAAGGGTTAATGGTTATACACACTTGTATGCTATGTATACTAATAATACTTTTATTGGTTATACACATTTGTATGCTATGTTATATAGTAATACTTTTATTGGTTATACACACTTGTATGCTATGTATACTGTACTAGTAATACTTTTATTGGTTATACACCCTTGTATGCTACGTATACTAATATATACTACTTATATTGATTATACAGCCTTGTATGCTATGTATACTAATAGTGAACCTCCTCCTTACGAAGGCCTCATCTTATGATAAAATCGACTTACGAAGCATTTCAACGTAAAAAAATTTCCCCGGCCTACTAAGAAAAACTCGACTTACATCATTCGTCCTGAACGTGGTCTGTTTGGCCAGAGCGCCTCAGCTTAACTAGTGCCATTGTTTACAAGCCAGGGCAGACGGTTTGCACACATACATTCTATAAATTTTGTATTATTCCATTGTTTTTAGTGCTTGTAACTGCTAAATAAGCCACCATGGGCCAAAGAAAGCTTCTAGTGCCAACCATGTGGTAAAATGGGGTGAGAAAAACTATTGAAATACTAACGTACCACAGTCAACTGCTGCTGCACCACGGTCAGCTGCTGTTGCTGCTGTACCAAAGGTCAGCTGCTGCTGTACCACGGTCAGCTGCTGTTGCTGCTGTACCACGGTCAGCTTCAGCTGCTGCTGCTGTACCACAGTCAGCTGCTGCTGTACCACGGTCAGTTGCTGCTGCACCACGGTCAGCTGCTGCTGCTGTACCACGGTCAGCTGCTGCTGTACCATGGTCAGCTGCTGTTGCTGCTGTACCACAGTCGGCTGCTGTTGCTGCTGTACCACGGTCAGCTGCAGCTGCTGCTGCTGTACCATGGTCAACTGCTGCTGCTGTTTCCACGGTCAACTGCTGCTGCTGCTGTACCATGGTCAGCTGCTGCTGCTGTACCACGGTCAGCTGCTGCTGCTGCTGTACCACGGTCAGCTGCTGCTGCTGCTTACCACGGTGAGCTGTGCTGTGTACCACGGTCAGCTGCTGCTGTATCATGGTCAGCTGCTGCTGCTGTACCACGGTCAGCTGTTGCTGCACCACCATCATCTGTACTACTCGAGGATGTGGAGAGACTGTTGTTGGTGTGGCTTAACGAGTAACAGTTACCGAGAAACAATTAACCCCAGAGGGTTAGCCACCCAGGATAACCCAAGAAAGTCAGTGTGTCATCGAGGACTGTCTAGCTTATTTCCATTGGGGTCCTTAATCTTGTCCCCCAGGATGCGACCCACACCAGTCGACTAACACCCAGGTGAATAGGAAAAAAAAATCTGGAACTAGTGCTCATATTGGTGAATTTAAGGCCAGCAAAGGTTGGTTTGAGAGATTTAAGAATTGTAGTGGCATACACAGTGTGATGAGGCATGGTGAAGCTGAAAAATTCCAACCCGAACAAGTGTTTAATTGTGACAAAACAGGCCTGTTCTGGAGGAAAATGCCAAACAGGACCTAGGTAACTCAGGAGGAAAAGGCACTCTCAGAACACAAGCCTATGAAAGACAGGCTAACTCTCATGTTTTCTTGTAATTCTAGTGGGGATTACAAAGTGAAGCCTTTACTCATGTATCACTCTGAAACTCCCAGAGTGTTCAAGAAAAACAGTGTCTCATCACTACATCTTCAATAAAGGTAAATATCATTTATTCTTCATTTAGTACAGTATATTGTGTATGTATCCTTCTTTTTGTGTGTAGGAAAATGTGCATTTCATGTGGTAAAAATTTTTTTTCGTACCTTTGGGTGTCTGGAACGGATTAATTGGATTTCCATTATTTCTTATGGAGAAAATTAATTCAACTTGCAATAATTTTGTCTAACGATGAGCTCTCTGGAACGGATTAATATCGTAAGTCTAGGGTCCACTGTACACATTTACAGGAGGGCCCCGCTTTACGGCGTTTTACTTTACGGCGTTCCGCTAATACGGACATTTCAAATTATGACCAAAACTCGCTATACGGCTCCCCCCACCTGACTTTCTAATACGGTCACCGTGCCCCACCCTGTTTGTTTACATTCTCCGTGAGCTCGGTAAGCACTAAGTCTCTCCATTTTGTCTGGAAACTCCAAAATTTCAAATGTTTTTAAAAGTTATTTCATATTTTATATATACTCTGATAATTATACTTATGTATACCTGTACCTAAATAAACTTACATACTGTGCTGGCATGCAGGTACACATTAAAATCGGTAAGTGTCTTATGTCTCCAGACGTCATATTAGTAATAATAATAATCATCGAGTCATTTAAATGTCATATATTACGTTAATATACACATTTTCATTAATCCATCTATGATATTTTTTTCAAAATTATATAATAAACACGATGCATAACATATAAATAAGATAAATACACCCCACAGTAGAATAAATAAACATAAATGTGAGATGTGGTAGCAGACGACTTGCACAAGTGACGCCATATTAGAAATGATAATAATAATAATAACAATATCACCAAAGTCTCATTAAATGTTGTATATTACGTTAATATACACATTTTCATTAATCCATCCATGATATTTTTTTCAAAATTATATAATAAACACGATACATAACA